CTCCCTTATACGAGCATTTACAATTATTAATATTACAATTTAATAACAGCAATTTATCAGAAACATAACATGTAACTAGCTATAGTCAACCAAATCTAAGAAATACGTTTTGACGTTTTACATTAATCATTCTGAAATCGGCTTTAACTTTTTAGATCGTTTCTTCTATATTCATTGAAGCATGCGCCCATGTCCAAAAGATGATTGGGAAAAAGTGGAAAAAAAACAAAAAAATGATTGTGACTTTGAAAGAGACATTGATTTTGACTTGATAAAAGATTATTTTCAATAATGCTATTGAAAATCAAATAATATTTAATATAAACAGCGACATCTCTATTAGTTTTACTGAAAGCGATTGAATAAATTTATTTTTAATCTGGTTGCAATCCAAAATTTTTATAACTGTGCCTTTAGAAATAAGCAGTAACAACAAATACGAAGAAAGTGATAAATCATGGATTTTAAATTATCCGTTTTTAATTTATTCTGGTATTATTCCAACCAAACTGCAAATGATTACCAACTCTAAATAATCGATATCAATTTTTTTTTTTTGAGAATCGAATATTGTACGTTCCCATTTTTTGGTTGGCACGCTTGGTGCAATAAGTCTGACAGCTGTCAAAATGTATTTATTAGATTTGGTTGACTATAGTTCTTTAAAACTCTTTTGGTTTACAAATCTCTTTATTGACAACTAATTCCTATTAAAACAACTATTTATTCAATTATCAACTTTTAACTCAAGTATTGTTTTAAATTGTAGAAATAAATTATTGTCGATTTGATTATTAATCCTGGTAATTGAAATTACTTAAGTAACCTAATGAATTCAATAAAAAGTTATTGTTTAGTGAAGTATTGACCAATCAAATCGTCGACCAATCAGAGCACACCTAAGTCGTTTTTACGTTTTCCTTATTGTATGTACGCGGGAATAGACTCACTTCAGTTTCTGCGCTCGTCGTTGTAGCTCCATTTTCCTGGTAAAGCTTTGTGAGTATTATTTGTAAGTTTTCATAACAAGAAGTGTAGATAGAATAAAGTTACTGTAGTATAAAATTAAGTGTGTGATCTCAGACCTTTTTCCTTGTAAAACTTTGTGGATATATTATTTGTGTTTTTATAACAAGAGGTGTAGAATAAAGTAGTTATAGTGCAAAATTAAAAGTGCGTGGTCTTAGATCTCTTTCATTATAATTGACACAATATACGGTAGCACGACTGAACCCTTCTCAAATGGGACAGTGGTGCTGCCTCACCATAAAAACAACCCCGAGGTTTCCGGTACGACATATATAATATATATATTATAGTTAATTTATACGTGGTAGAGACATCCTGCAGCTATATTACGGTTGTAGCACTAATAGGTCGGCTCGACCGAGAAGGTCCACACTCTCACAGAGTACCAGCGTATAAAAGCAGCTCAATGTTGCTATTTTTCGTATGGTGACTATAGAGAACCGGAGACCCTTTTTACTGAAAACGAGGCACTCCACCTTAGTTCTCAGGGGTAACAACGCATCTGCATTTTGATTCTTAATCGAGGATAGATGTCATCTATGGGCCTCAGCATTCACTTACTATCAGTGCAACTGTGTGCTTAAAAAAGTTTTTTTTTTATACTAGCTTACCCCCATAGATTGTCTCACAAAAGATTACATGCCTCACAAACAAAATATAGTAGATAGTGAACAGTAAAACAAAACTGTATAATATTTCAAATAAATACTTAATTTTGAAAGGAATATTTTTGCTGATTTGATTCTTTATTAACAGCCTCTCACTATAATCGATCTTTCAAAATATGGTAGGGGTGAAATGAAGGTGTAGAAAGAATTACAGAAGACAGAGTCACAAAGTGAATGGCATAGTCAGACAGGAATGTCCTAGATGGAAGTTTGTCGACCAAATTGGTGAAGTATTTAAGACGGGCCAAATTAAGGGTAACATTAACCGATGAACTATGTATGCATGCAATGTATTATGTGTGTGGAAATGAAAGTGAGTGTGGTGAGTCACGATCGTACCAAATGAAATTTTGTAGTGCCTGTCTCTGCCGCACCCTTCTAGGAGCAAAAAAGTTTACATATTTAATTATGTAGTTTCATCTACTGTACATTTTTGAGATTTATAATATTCGAACCCCTAGTATTATAGTAAAGATGGCAACCCTGATTAAATCAGATATAAATATGTTAGGGAGATTATGTAGCACGGAAAAAATCCGCCAAGTTGTTTAAACCAAATCTATCTTATGTGTATTTGTGTTTGTATGCGTACGAGCGTGCGTGCGTGCGTACGTGCGTGCGTGCGTGTGTTTCACATGTCATTTGTGAAAGTTATACACTGTCTAATTAACTTTAAGGGGCTATCCACAAACATATCCTTGTCACAGGTACTCATAATTGTGATACTCTCTAGTGTTCTTTTTTATAGAAGAGGGGGCAAACGAGCATGCGGCTCACCTGATGTTAAGTGACTATCGCCGCCCATGATCAACCGCAACAGTAGAGGAATTGCAGGTGCGTTGCCGGCCCTTTAGAAAGGAGTAAGCTCTTTTCTTGAAGGTCCCCAGGTCGTATCGGTCGGGAAAAATCGCCGGTGGTAAACTATTCCACAGAGAGGTTGTACGCGGAAGAAAACTCCTTTTGAAACGTACTGTGGTGGACCGCCAAGCATCCAGATGGTGTGGATGGTATCGGGACGTTTGCCGCGTAGTGCGCTCATGAAATTTGGCGGCTGGGATTAATCCGAACAATTCCTCAGAGCACTCTCCATGGTATATGCGAAATAAAATGCAAAGAGATGCAACATCTCTTCGCAGTGCCAGTGAATCGAGCCGATCGGAAAGCACTCATTCGTCGACGATTCGAGCCGCTCTGCGCTGGATGCGGTCAAGTGGAAGGAGCTGGTACTGGGGAGCCCCAGCCCAGAGATGGGAACAGTATTCCATGTGCGGCCGAACCTGCGCCTTGTAAAGTTGCAGGTGGTGTGCCGGCATGAAATACTGTCCCGCTCTGCTGAGCACGCCAAGCTTTTTAGAGGCCAATTTGGCCTTCTCTTCCAAGTGACCACGAAACTGCACGTCACTCGATATGTCAACGCCGAGGATTCCGATACTGGCTGAGGCAACAAGGGGGAGTGCCTTGAAACTGAGGAGATACGACAAAGGGGTTCTTTTTTAGCGGTTAACGCGCAAAATTGTGTCTTCTGGGGGTTAAACTGGACTAGATTTAGTCGCCCCCAATCCGAGACTCTGTTCAGCAAAGACTCCAGACACAAGTTTGTCCCGGCACTCGGAGACGTTTTCCCGAGAAATATTGGCTCGGCCGGTGTAAAGAGCATCACCAGTGCTAATCTGCATAGCAATGAATGTTACGGGTTTGCAACATATCATTTGATATGCAGAAGAAACAGCGTTGGCGATAGCACGCAGCCTTGTGGAACACCAGCATTAATAGGCTTGCAATCGAAGCTTGCACCGTCTACAACGACCTTGATACTCCGATCTGCAAGAAAGCTGGTGATTCAATCGCACAATTTCTCGGGAAGCCCATAGGAAGGGAGCTTCGAAAGAAGCGCTTTGAGCCAAACCCGATCGAAGGCCTTCGCAATGTCCAAACTGACGGCCAATGCCTCCCCCCTTGGACTCTACTGCCTCCGCCCATCTGTGAGTTAGGTAGACCAGAAGATCACCAGCTGTAAACCGTATTGGCGGTCACTAATCAGCTGGTGAAGCTCAAGGTACCTCATGAGCTGGCAGTTTACAATGGACTCCATTGTTTTGGAAAACAAAGAGGTGATGGCGATAGGCCGGTAGTTGGACGGGTCTGAGCGGTCGCCTTTTTTAGGGATCGGGTGGACGAAAGCAGTCTTCCATGATTTCGGGACTACGCCTAGGGAGTAGGAGTACCGGAAAAGACACGTTAAAACTGGTGCCAACTCTGGTGGACACGTCCTCAGCACAATTGGGGGGATTCCGTCAGGCCCACTCGACTTGTGGATGTCCAGGGAGAGGAGTGCTTTGCGAACCGAGCGCTGTGTGAACTGCACTTCCGACATGGAGCACTCACACCGCGGGATGGTCGGCGGCGTACTCCCCCCCGACATCGAGAGTCGAGTTGGACGCAAAGAAAGAGCCTAGAAGATCGGCTTTCTCCTTTGCGGTATGGGCCAGTGAGTCGTCCTCCCTGTGCAGAGATGGAAGAGATGGCTGACAGAAATTCCCCTGGACAGCCTTGGCTAGAGACCAGAATGCACGGGTTCCAGAAGGAAGGCGAACTAGTTTCTTCATTCATTCATTCAAAAGAGTCATTGCCAAGGCAAAGTCAGAGCACATAGCCAATTCTGTCTAAGGTAAAAAGTGTGACGTAACATATTTTTCAATTTTATATTTCACAAGTAATTAAATTAAAACAGCAGTTCTTCCAATTATTTTTAATTTAAATTATAAATAATATTTAAGAAATCAAAATAATGTAAAATATTTTATACACTGGACAAAACAAAAGACCAGTTAAAGAAAAACGTTTAATAATGTTAATAAAAGATACAAAACACAAAAATAATTTTAAGGTTTTGGTTTACATATAAATTTCGCGTTTTAGTATTTTAGATTTTAACATGTGACGTCACATAGCTTTGACCTCCCTTGTCCCTTGCCAATGTCACACTTTGTTGTCCCCCCCCCCCTCCGCCCCTAACGTGTGATGTAATTTAAGGATGGCCCCTAACTCAAAAAAAAACATCTTTTAGTAACTAGCCCTGAGTTACCAAAGATGAAAGTATTGAGTAAAGAGAATCCTAGTGAATTAAGCTCATAAGGGGCACTATTGCCATATTTGCCACGCATGACAGGGGGGTTGACAGCGACAGTTTGATATTCTAGTTGTTATTAAGAAGACCATGCTACCTATCTTGTTCACTGAACATGTTAGTGTTAACCTAACTTGCCCTTAATATTCCTGTGCTGTATGTAAATTTAGAATTACCGAATATTCCGTTCTGTGTCGCCTCTCGTGCTGCTTAAGTGCCCCCAAGTACACGGTACTGTATCCACATCGGTATGAACAAGGAATTCTAGTACCATTATGCGCTCTGCCGTGCCTCACTATTTCTGATGCAGTTTTATATGTTCGACCTAGAAAAGAATAGAATGCAAGTTATACTAACAAATTTTAAAGAATCGCGTGATTTACGGGGCACAAATGGGCCATTTTCACGCTGGTATTATGTAGGAGCACGTCCTCACTTGTCGAACAAACCCATTTAATGTCCCCAGACTGAATTTCGGTCAGACCGACCAGCCTAAACGAAGACTAGCCATAGGCGTAGAACAGGATTATAGTGCACAAGTGTATATGCGCAAGCACAGGTGCACTCTCAACTCCTGTCATAATCCGATGGGACGGTAAACCGACACGACCGGAGAGAGATCAGGTGCAGGACCAACGGCTTTACATGCTTTCTGAGGCACGGGGGGAGACACCACCTTCTTGACTCCGGGCAGCTGCTGAGAATTTTTAGACGGAAAACTATTTTTTTTGGCCCGATCTGGGATTCGAACCCGGGACCTCATGATCAGCAGTCGCTTATACAACCACCAGACCAAAAAGGCAGTCAACAATAATATAGCTGCAGCGTGACTTTACAACGCAAAATTCTCATCAAAATTAAATAAAGGCTTTGATGTAGTTTTAATTAATACAAACTTATTGATGATTAAGACTTTAATAGTCGTTATCATTTGCAGTGTGGTGGTGCCGTAAAATAATCCATGACCCAACATCCCGTGGGTGTCATACGAGACTATGGGAAAGACTAGATCTCATAGCTTCCGCTAGATGGCAGTATAAGCAGTTTGTTTACGTCAGACGTTAAATACACAGACCGGTGATGGTCGGTAAAACGGATACTGTTATTGTCAGTCGGCCTGCACGTAGCGGCACGAGTCGTGAGCACTGCCTAGACATGCGCCGTAGTCGATTTAGCGTACATGAGGATAATATGGTCATCCGGTTAATGTGATCAATTTCTTATAACTTAAAAACCGGCCAAGAGCGTGTCGGGCCACGTTCAGTGTAGGGTTCCGTAGTTTCCCGTCCGTCACAATAAGTGTTCCCACTTATGAGTTTAAAGGTGGGTGTCCATTATGTTCGCGCTCCAGCAGCGCTCCGCGCTCCTGCAACTGCTACCGGTACTGTACTGTACTGTTGTTTCCATCCAAGTTCAAAATGATTTTCCTAGAAAGTCCTTATAAAGTTCTACTTTTCAGATTTTTTTCATATTTTCTAAACTTATGGTTCAAAAGTTAGAGGGGGGGGACACATTGTTTTTTACTTTTGGAGCGATTATTTCCGAAATTGACATTATCAAAAAATGATTTTAGTAAACCCCTATTCATTTTTAAATACCTTTCCTACAATATATTACACATTAGGGGTGAAATTAAAAAAAAATATCACTTCCCACTTTACATATAGGGGAGCTACCCTAATAAAACATTTTTTCCAATTTTTTTTTTACCACTTTGTCGGCGTGATTGATACACATATTGGTACCAATTTCAGCTTTCTAGTGCTAACGGTCACAGAGATTAAGCGAGGACGGACAGACAGACATGGCGAAACTATAAGGGTTCCTAGTTGACTACGGAACCCTAAAAACTACAACTTTATTTGCATAGATGGCTCTGTGATATGATAACTCTTAATCAATCGATCAAATAATAAAAGTTCAAATGAACGCTGATTTATCTACGCTATTTTGACAGTTGACAGTATAAAATATTTATGGTCATTAACTGTTTTGAAGTTGATTTTTCGAAGTGTTCCTAATTATGGCCAAACAAAGACATTTAAATATATATACTATGGAGCGAACATTGGGGGAACATTTGTGTGACGCCCTCTAGCTAAACATAGCAAATCTACTTATTATTAGGAAAACATTTTAGCTATTCCCCAATAGGTGATAGTGATAAATATAAGGTAAAAACGCGTTTTAGGAATTTTACCGATACGTCATCAAAGTATCGATAATGTTCATAATTCATAATTATTTACTTGCACAATTCATAATTATTTATTTGCATAGAATGTAGGTAGATATTACAAGAGTATTATTAAAACATAAAAGTTCCTATACATTCTGCCTTATCGAGGCGTGCATATTTTGACTAATTACAAACTTATTTACAAATATCAAAACTTCAAGCATTTTTAGATACAGATATTTCAATATGTAATTTGTTTTGATTTTTGTAATAAAGATACTCATTAACAGTATAGAAACAAATAAAAGCCATTCATGAAGTTTGTTTTTTAACTTTGTCAATGGGAAATTTTTAAACTCGTCGGGTAAAGAGTTAAAGATTTTAATCGAAATTATATGTTTTTTTTTTGAAAGAGCATCAATTTACATTTTGGAAAGTATATTCTGTTATTAGATTTTTTCCTTAAACTTCTATCTCTTAAAAAATGATTACTTGGGAAGTATTCAGGGTATTGCTTGACAAAAATCGCCGCTTGTTTTATATACATATATGCGAGTGGCAGCACTTTTATTTCTTTAAATAATGGTTTGGACGATGTCATAGAATGTGCTCCAGATTGCTCGAATGCATTTTTTTTTTTGGATTTTAAATACGCGTTCGTATTATTCGTAAAAAAATGCATTTCAGAACAGTTGCCCCATATTAGAAGTCCGTACTGCAATATCGATGAAACGTAGCCATGATAGGCGTTTAACGCTGCTTTGGCAGATGCTATTTCTCGAAGTCGGCGAAGTGCAAATACAAATCTGTTTAATTTGTCACATATCGATTGAACATACATTTTACAATTACAATTATTGTCAATAGTGATACCAAGAAATTTATAATAATCAACTTCTTGTAGCACTTTTTCATTATACATTATATTTAAATTAATTTGTTTACTTCTAGTCGTATAAAATTGCATTATTTTAGTTTTATTTATATTTACAGTCATATTGTTACAATTTAACCAATCAATTATATCTTTTAGTGTACTATTGATATCATATTCAAAAAGCTTTTTATTCGTACATTTAAGAATGATTGTTGCATCATCGGCGAAAAGAATCTTTTTATGAGGAGTTATTGTTGGTAGCTCATTAATATATATTAGGAAGAGTATAGAACCCAGAATACTTCCTTGTGGTACACCATATTTGTTTAACCGATATTCCGACCGAATGTGCATTTTTTTAAGGTTTTTGAGCATTGTTATTTCAGTGCATTGCTGTCTTTGACCCAGGTAACTTTTAAACCATTCATTTGCTTTCCCACGTATTCCGTATCTTTCCGAGTTTATTGAGATGTATTCCATGGTGAACAAAGTCAAATGCTTTACTCATATCCAAAAAAAGAGCTACCACCGGTACACCGTCATTGATGCATTCTGTAATAAACTTAACGAGTTGGAAAGTCGCTAAAGTTGTGGACTTATCTTTTACAAAACCATTTTGTGCGTTATTAATAATGTTAAATTTTTCCATAAAATTATTAAGTCTCTTAAGTATTGCTTTTTCAAAAACTTTTGATAAAAGGAATGGACACTATTGCAACAGGTCTGTAATTCTTTAGTACCGCCCTTTTTGAAGATGGGTTTTAAAACTGAATACTTGAGATCTGCAGGAAAATTCCTTGGATAAAAGATAAGTTTATGATGTGGCTAAGTATTGGTGCTATATTTAAAGAACTTGGTTTTAATATTTTTTTCGGTAACTCATCATACCCAACCTAATCAGTGTTTCGAAGAGATAATATAATTTGATTAACTTCATCAGGAGTCGTGGGTCGTAAGAATATAGTAGAGTGACGGGATTATTTACACATACAATTATTCGACATATTTGGTTTGTCTTTATTTGTCGAATCTATAAAAACAATTATTAAACCCATTTACAATGTCATATCCTTCTACCAGGGTTCTTCCATTGTAGTTTATGGTGTCTATTTCTTTATTAGTTAGTCTATTAGTTATATTTGTTCTTATGACATTCCATATAGCTTTACCTCTATTATTTGAGGCTAATATATATTTCTCATTTTGAATTTTTTGTGCCTTTAAAATACATTTCCTAAGAATTTTAGCGTAACTTATATATCTAGATTTAATAAATGTTTATTTGCCGCTGTAAGCAGATATTTACAATGTAGATTTCCTTTTACTACGCAAGATTTTTTTATATCTATTGAAAGCCAATAACTTTTAATTCTTAAGGAAATCTTAATTAATTTGGTTGGGAAACACAGGTCCAAGAACAGTTTGTAAATATTATAAAAGTTTGAAAATATTTTGTTGGTGTCTTGTTCAGTATAGGTTTCAGAAAAAGATATTGATTGTATACATTCCAAGAACTTTTCTATGTTATCTTTCGCAAAGTCTCTTTTTTTCTTCAAACCAGTATCTTACGGTTTTACTGACTTTCATAGGAAGCTTCAAGAGGCCCAAACAATGTATAGAACCTTTTGCTTGTGTAACATTGCTTATTAAGTGATCAATACATGAATTAATTCTAGTTGGGGAGGTTATGTGCTGAGTTAAGTTAAAATTTTGTAATAAATCTTTGTTTCTTAGAGTAATTACTAACCTTTATAGTGTCTATATTTAAATCTCCTGCTATGATTATTCGTTTTTTATTTCCTCTTGATAATTTTAATAATAATTTATTTAATTTTTCGAAAAATATTTATATGTCTGAATTAGGTGTTCGACATATGCATAAAATTATTAGATTAAAATTACCAATTTCAATTCCGCAACATTCAAAATGTTTTGTCATTTCATATTATTTCGTTACCATTAAATCATTTGTTGTTTTTACGTTTAGATATAATAATAGAGAATATGCATGATTTCTTATATTTACGCAAACACTAGACAATTAAATAATGCAAATTTTTACGGATTTTCTCGCGCGTATATTATCTTTTTTATAAAACCGACGTTTCGAGTACTTTACAGCACCCATGGTCACGGGGGGGACTGAGATGTTCAACGTCCAGGATGTCATAGTTAACCGCGGTTACCACAGATTAATCTCGTGGTAATCTTAAATCATCGTTAAAATTTCTATTTTAAATTTGAACTTAAAACAGAAATATTAACATTAAATTTAGAATATTGTAAATATTTAAATGTTATTGAGATCATTATCTCTAAATCTCTATTTTTATTTTCAATCAATTACTGTCCGTTTGTCTCGCTAAAACTCAATAACGGCTAGACCAAATTTGATGAAATTTTTGTGCATGTTTGAATGGGTCCCTAGATGGTTTAGATTTGACATTTGAACCCGGTAGATGGCGCTGTTGTCGATATCCAGGAATCACCCGATGGGGTAAAAGAACTCTTATTCGTATCGGTAGACGAAGAGTAAGGCGGCCCCCCACTAGATGGAGTAACAAGTGTTAAAACATGTTGGAAGTGGATGGATACAAGTGGCTTAGGACCGTGCGTTGTGGCATTTCTTGGGGGATACCTATGTAAATCAGTGGTTTTGTAAAGATTGTAATAATGATGATGATGATGATGATATTGCCTGGAAAATATACATGCGAAAATGCTGTCAATTTGGTGCTCACGACTCGCTTCGATATTTATACTAAGCGTGATATTATGACAACTTCTTGCTACAACGGAAGACTTATGTCCAGCTGTGGACTTATATGGGCGAACAAAAAAAGAATAAATCCTATTACGTCGTTTTTATTTTTTGCACCTATCACATTATATCCACACGTCTCGGGTTGACTAGGAGAAAATGCCAAAAGGCATTAAGTCTGTACTTTGTAATCCTTTTTATTATGATGTACATTAAAGTATAAATAAATAATAAATAAGACTAAAAATAAAAATAGTTAAATACCACATAATTTGCACAAAAAGGGTCTGTCTTCTACATGAGATATGGTGTGTTTATTAAACTTTCTCTTGCTATCAAATGCCCTTTCACATTTCTTGCATTTATATTTATTGTATCCGTTCGATCCAGTTACGACTTCATAGTTTTTATCTTCAGGATTATTTTTGTCTTCTTGTGTTAATTTAGAGTTTGAATGTACTTCGTTATAATGCTTCAGTAAGTCAATTTGTGTCGAGTTCATTTTAAAACATGTTAAGCATGTGAGAGTATTGCCTAGAGGTATTCCTGTTTGGACTTTTAGTTCTGTCCTGGACACAAGTGATTTGGAATGCTAAAAAGATAGTCAAAATTTATTATATTAAAAATATCTCTGAACAATGCATACAAAAAATGAGTGGAATAGGTTGTCAGTATCTGTCTTTCCATCTCATTACTATGTGTTTCTCTTCAAGGCAAGAGTGAATAAATTTTTGTGAAGTCTGTAAGCTTTACCATATCCGACTGCATTGCCACGGCAGTCCGTCAACATAAACTGGAGAAGGTCAATGGAATAATTGTTGCATAACCCTCGAATAACCAAGAAAACTTAGTTTACTGGAATATTAGGGTAACAAGGGGGTTATGCCAAAATTTTCTCACAAATCAAGTTTTACTAGTATGCAGCCTGCTAATAAGAGGTCATGGCTCCAACAATCAAATGATGGCGGAAAATCCATCATCAAGACTTAACCGTACAGCCACGCTACAGATATATTATAGTTGTAGCACGAATTGATCTGCTCTACCGGGGCAGCAGCAGTAAAATAGCAGGGTAATGCTGCTGTTTCGTATGGTAAGTTTAGAGAACAGATGACTTTTTACTGGAATCAAGGCATTCCATCTTAATCCTCAGGGGTGACAACGCATTTGTATTTTGGTCCTTAGTTGAAGATAAATTATTTTATACGTGGTAGAACCACGCTGCAGCTATATTATAGTTGTAGCACGAATTGGTCTGCTCGACCGGGGAAGGACCACGCTCTCACAGAATACCTGCGTAAAACAGCAGCTGAGAGTACTGCTGTGTTTCGTATGTTGAGAATAGAGATCCGGAGACCCTTTTTTACTGGTTACGAGGCATTCAGTCTTAGTCCTCAGGGGTGACAACGCAACTGCGTTTTGATTCTCAATCGAGGATAAATGTAGACGTCTATGGGCCACTTCATTCACACACCATCAGGTGGACTGTATGCTCGTTTGTCACCATTATTCTTTATAAAAAATAAATAAATGTGGATGTCTATGGGTCAACGCATTCACTTAACATTATGTGGACTGTGTGCATGTTTGTCACCCAATACTATAAAAAAAAAGTTCAGCCATTTGGAAGATTAGCCTGGACAGGCAGACATACATAATAATAATAACCTCCTGATCTTAACAGCAAGTTATTCAATATTACATATTGACACTTCAATTTTATTTATTAGTATAGATACTGATTAGTATCCTATAACCGCTCAACCGTGATTGCCGTGTAGTGGCGGCTGAGAATATCCACTACCCCATATCTTCCCGTGGGTGTCGTAAGAGGCGACCTGTCTCCCTCTGGGGAGACAGGCAGGAGATGGGCAGCAGCATCTTCCTGATAACAACAACTATACAATAAAAAAACTGCGGTTGCCAACCCGCTCGCCAAGCGTGGCAACTATGTCAAACATTACCGCATGAGGAACGACACAAATGCCCCCAGTCCCTGGCGGCCCCGCTATTCCTGGCTACCGTGGTGATACCCCCCATGAGCAACGACGCAAATAGACGGCCCCCAGACCATGGTAACGGCAGGGTAGGGGTTGCTAAGAATCTCCGGTGGAGGTTCGGTTGCCACCTACGACAATTCGACCTGGTAACATATATAACGCACGCACCCTGAGGACTGACGAGAAGATACTGGAGCTGGAAGAAAAGATTAGAGAGATCAGATAAGATTATCCGAGATCCGAAGAGGGGTAGGACACGGTTATCCTCGAATCCGGCAACTTTTTCTATAACCGGGAGGGCAACCATCTGTCCCAAGGAGGTGTCGGATTTACCGTCCATAAGTCTCTCGTCAACAATGTTGTAAAGATTGAGAGTATGTCGACGAGGGTCGCGTACCTGATACTCAGGATCACCAAACGGTATTCGCTGAAGGTCATACGCACCAACCTCGGCACATCCCGATGAGGAGGTGGAGGAAATGTATGAGGATATCTCTAGAGCCATGCATTTCTCCAAAACCCACTATACGGTGTTGTTGGGAGACTTCAACGCAAAACTGGCACAAGAGAAAGTGGTGAGCTGAAGTTAGGGAAATTCGGAATAGGGCAACGGAACCCAAGGGGCCAGCAGCTGGCCGACTTCATGGAGAAAGAGGGACTCTTTATGATGAACTCTTTCTTCCCGAAGCAGCTCCACAGGAATTGGACCTGGTCAATCCCCGACGGTTCGACAAAAAATGACGACTTGACGCCAACTGTTCAGTGATGTCTCAGTGATCGCGAGGGTGAAAACTAGCAGCGGTCACCGAATGGTTATAGACGGGAAATGAAGTTGCAGTCTTCAGCAGACTTGGCAGCATACATGCAACGGAACACACAGATCTCCAAATACATGCGGCGGGACTTATGCAACTTCAGTACAGCTCGTATTGAAGCGAGCGGAGCTCGAGCGGAACCAAGGCTCCAAAGTCTTTGCTAGGGATCTGTTTGTCAGAAAGGGCCAACTGTCAAAGCTGAAGACAGAGTGTGGCAGCACAGTTTCCAGGACACCTGAAATTTTGAATGAGATTGAGAGGTTCTATGGGCAGCTGTACACGTCATCGTCGGAGCCATTCGCAAGTGTGAGTAGCGATCCAAGAGCAAGTCTTATCCGACACTATTCCGACGATATCCTGGACTTCAATCTGAGCGAAAATGGCTCTCCAGCACCTTAAAAACGGCAAGTTCCTGGGCGGGGATGGAATTACAACGGAGCTACTGAAAGCGGGTGGAAAATCGGTATTTGAAGTCCTCCATGGTGGCGCTACTCCCGAGACGTGGAGCAGAAGTGCGACGGTCTTGTTCTTCAAGAAAAGTGACAGCGCTGTCTTGAATGGGGGTCATTGTAGAAGCGTGCTCGTCGCGACCCCTGCCAGCCCTTTTCAGGGCTGCAATTCTACACAGCTGCGCACCCATGCAAACGAGGGTAAGGGAGTCCCCCCAAGGCGACGCACACCAGCTCGTCCCCGTTGGTGTGGAAAGCAGCGCGCAAAGCGGCGATGGGGACCGCCACCCGTCACGCACAGCCCGACACGGCGGAAGGTGGAGGACGGAGTGCAGAGTTGGCACGTGGAATGTTAGAGGGGGCATGAGAGATAAGACGAATGAGTTGATCGAAATAATGAAAGAAAGAGAATTAGATGTCGTGTGTATGTCGGAGACCAAACGGAAAGGCAGTGGTACTGAAGAGCTCCCTGGCGGGACGTTAGCTATATGGTCCGGAGTCCCGGAAAGGGAGAACGCCTGCCAGGGAGTGGGGGGTGCTGTTGTCGTCCCGGTTGGTCGATCTTATGACTGAATACAAGGTTGTGAACTCAAGACTTCTCTGGGTTCGCTTTAAACTGGGACTGACAAAGTTATTCCTTTTGGCTGTTTATGCGCCGGTAGCTTCGTCTGCTCCAGGGCTCAGCCCTGGAGGAATTTTGGGAGAATCTAAGAGAAGTTCTAGATTTGGTTAAGGGAAACGAAAGAACTGTTGGAATGAATGTATGTGGTGATTTGAATGGATGGGTAGGTATCGCTCGACCAAGGATACGAGTCGGTGCTTGGAAAGTTTGGCGATAAAAGGGTTAATGATGCTGGCAAGCTTATACTGGCTGTATACAAGGAAAAGGGTCTTCTTGTGACAAACACTATGTTTAATCACAGGAAAATCCATATGTACACTAGAGAAAGAAAGAATGAAAGAAGTATGATTGATTTGTTCCTGGTGGATGACCGACTGCGAAAACAGGTGATGGATACACGAGTGTTCAGGGGTGCTGACCTGGGAACGGATCATTATCTAGTAATTACTAGATTTGGGGTTTGTTTTACTACCGGACGGCAGTAACAGAACCACAGTCGGTCTGTCGTATCCGAAGCTGGAAGCTTCAGGAAGCGGATACTAGGGACAAATATCACACGAGGGTAGCCGAAAAGCTTGACACCATCGATGGCAGGAAAGAATGTGTGGAAGAAGACATGGCAGAACCTTAGGGATGGAATGGTAAGTGCAGCGGAAGAAGTATGTGGAACGACAAAAAGAGGTAGTAGTAAAAGAAGAGATGCATGGTGTAATGATGAAGTGAGAGAAGCTAAAGTAAAAAGAAGAAAAAAGCATGGTTAGACTACTTGGCCTTTAGTAACGATAAGCATATGAGAGAGAAGATGAAAGAAAGATATAAGCTGCAGAAAGTTCATGCGAAAACATTGATTAAGGAAGTACGTGAAAGGTGTAGAATAGAAGCGGACGAGAGGTTGTCGCACAACTTTAAGGAAAACTCCAAACTCTTCTGGAAAGAGGTTGGAAGGTCCCGGAGTGGTGCGACAGCCTTAAGAATGAACAAAGTGCTTTCGAGAACCAATGACGTCCTCTCAGAAAAATCGGACGTCATGCAGCGATGGAGTGAATTTTATAGAGAAATGTATGCGTGTCATGATATTAGTGAAGGATTCGGGGGTGACGCCGTGACTGGCACGCCAGATACGGACCTCGATGACACTGAGGTCATCAGCATGAAAGAGATTGAACGTGCGATTCGAAGTTTGAAATGTGGTAAGGCTGCGGGACTAGACAGAGTTACTGCTGAAATGGTCAAGTACGGTGGGCCTCGCGTCTGGGACAGCTTTCATCTGCTGTGAAATTTGTGCTGGCGGACGGGAGATGTCCAGGATGATTGGCGATCCGCGGTCATTGTGCCTTTATATAAAGGTAAAGGTTCACAATTTGACTGCGGGTGCTATCGGGCGATCAGCTTGACCAGTTTAGCAAGTAAAGTTTACTCGAAGGTTTTGACACGTAGGATGCAAGAGAAATCGGAAAGATTCTTATGGGAGGCACAATGCGGATTTAGACCTGGAAGAGGATGCACGGACAAATGTTTTCTCTCCGCATGATCACGGAGAAGCTTCTGAGTGTTAACCAGAAAGGATTTTCTGTGCTTTTGTGGATCTGGAGAAAGCATTTAATAAGGTTATAAGGAAGAAAATGTGGGAACTGTTGCCGGGATATGGTGTGGATGGTCGATTGTTAAGGGCTGTGCAGTCGCTTTACTATGACTGTAAAGCCTGTGTGAGGGTAGGGCATGACCTGTGACCCATGTTTAGCGTTCAAGCGGGCGTAAAACAGGGTTGTGTCATGTCTTCCTGGCTGTTCATACTGTATCTCGACAGCTGTTACAGAAGCTGAAAAATAGCTGTTTGGGTGTGAAATTGGGTGACATTAAAGTTAATTGTCTGCTGTATGCTGATGATGCAGTGCTTATTGCACCATCAGAAGCAGAACTGCAGGCATTAGTCACGTGTATGAAAGAGGAATGTGAAATTAAAGGTCTCCGTTTGAATGCTAATAAAACTAAGGTTCTGGTATTTAAAAAGGACGAAGAGAGAATGAAATGTGAAATATGGGTAAATCAGGAATGTCTAGAACAGGTAAATGAAATTGTATACTGGGGAGTGCTTTCAGCCGGGATGGAAGATGTGATTTAGATGTGGATAGCCGTGTCGCTGCCGGAAACAAAGTCAATGGTGCCCTGAATGCATTAGTCAAAAGGCAAGGCGTGGTGAAGAGTGCACGCCTCGCAATACATAACGCAGTGTTAGTACCGACTTTGTTATATGGCAGCGAAACCTGGGTATGCCCGAAGAAGCATAAAAGCAAGTTGAATGCAGTGGAGATGCAATCTCTTCGTAAAATGTGTGGCGTTACCATAGCCGACCGAAAGCGAAACGAAGAGATTCGCAATATGGCAGGATTGAAAGATGACCTTATCACAAAAATTGATAGTGGCGTACTCCAATGGTTTGGGCACGTTGAACGAATGAGTGAAGACCGAATGGTGAAGAAAATATATAGAGCGAAAGTAAATATTAAAAGGTGTCGAGGTAGACCGAGACTAACTTTCGAAGACCATGTGAGCAAATTGCTCGAAGAGGGGAGGGTCAAGAGTAATCGGATACCTAGACGTGCATGTATGAAGAAGTTAATGAACCTGAAAGAAGCGAAAGAGGTATGTAAGAATCGTGACACTTGGCGATCTGTTCTCTCTGCTCGAGGATTGTGCGTGAAGATAAGTAAGTAAGTAAGTAAGCTATCTTGAAGGACTTCATACCGATATCCTTTCTGAGCCGCGTCTACGTGCTGTTCACGAGAGTCATTACGAATGGTCTCGCAGTCTACGCAGACTTGACGACTTCCAGCCTCCCAAGCAAGCCGGTTTCCGAAAAGGCTTTAGCACCATAGACCACATACATACCCTTCGGCAAATTGCACAGAAGTCCGAAGAGAAAAATCTGCCACTTTGCCTAGCGTATGTGGACTATGAGAAAGCCTTTGATTCCGTCGAAATTTGGACGGTGCTACAGTCCCTTCAGCGGTGCCAAGTACGCTGTCGGTATATCGAAGTGCTGAAGTGATTGTACAGTATGGCTACGATGGCTATCCGAGTACAAAATCAGAGTACGAAACCTATCCAACTGCAGAGAGGTGTAAGACAGGGTGACGTTATATCCACGAAACTCTTTGCATCCACCGCTGCATTGGAAGACGAAGAAAAGAGGTTCTCGAGTGGCAGCCTCGTACTGGTAGGCGAAGTGTAGGGCGACCCTCACCCTAGATGGAGTGACGACCTGGTAAGACATGCAAGAAGTCGATGGATGCAGGTGGCTCAGGACCATGATTTGTGGGAGTACCGTACCTTGGGGGAGGCCTATGGTCAGCAGTGGACTTGTGAAGGGCTGTAATGATGATATGATGAAGATGAACCGCTCAACAGTTAAAACATCCATCCCGGCTGTGTCAAATATCTATTGTTAGTAACTGTCATCAATTGCGGCAATTCAATTCCCGCCTTTTATTATATAATGATTTCTTAAATTTACGCAAACACTACACATTGAATAAAACTATATATAAATATATATGGTTTATCACATTAATTTACTTATTTTTATAACTTATTGTTAATTCCTGACGTTTCAGGTGCTTTACAGCACTTATGGTCATGAGGGGGACTGAGATGTTTGACTAGTTAGCCTGGCTACCTTCAGTTTTTGAATATTAATTTTTGGTCTAACTTCAAGATACTGTAAGCTCGTTCTGCATAGATTGGTATATAGTTATATCATTTTATAATTATTCAATTACTACTATACTTTGCTTTTAGCACTAATGTTATAATAATATATAAATTGAGATGAGAAAAACATATTTATTATATTTAATTGTATAAACCATAACATTATACCCATATATTTAAAGATAACACAAAATTAAGTGAATAATTTCTCCCAGGCAGTAAATATAAGCTGCAAACCTTTGCAGCTTATATACAATGTATTAGAAATTTCACCATTTAGAAAGATACTGTTGAGGGGTTACGAATATCATTCCTGCAGTCTGCGTTTATATAAAATAGTAACTATAGTAAAGTACTAATTTAAAATTATTACCTGAACTTGATTTTTGGTTTGTTTTATCAAAGAAAGTGACACATCATCCTCTGAACAAAAGTCAAAGCCTTCCTCGATTTCACTTAGCTCCGATTTATTAAGACTATTCATTTCATTCTCAGCAATAACTTTACTTTGTTCATATTTTATTTCCATTTTACCATCTTGAAATAATTCATTTTCTTTGTTATCAAATTCATTCTCATTATTTTCACTTTTAATAAGTTTTTTGTCATTTTTATTAATATTATTAACAGTATTATAGACTTCCTTAAGCCTGTTTAAGAGAGTATTTTGATTTTCTATGATTTTATTACGAAAAATATAAGTATCTTCTATTTTATTCTTACAAAATCTGCATATTGTTTGAGGTAGACTGTCATCAGTTATAATCTAAAAATTACAAGTATAGTAAAATTTTTGTACAATCAACTTCAATATATATATAAAACTAGCTCGCCAGGCAGATGTTGTTCTGCCTTTTTTGAAGACCCTTGTCATGTCCTATTAAAAATCCTTAAATTTGCAAAAAAAATATTTTGGGTCATGGGCAAAAAAACTATCCTATCTCACAAGTTGGACCAAACTGCACACGGTGTGAAAAATTTATTAAAATCGGTTGAGTAGTTTAGGAGTCCATTGCAGACAAATAACGTGACACGTAATTTATATATATTAAGATGAGAACTTCATCAATTTAAATATGCATTATTAAGGATAATAATATTGCATTAGTTATCAAATGTACGTTATAGTTAAAACTATTTTTCAGTGAAATCTAATTTTGACCAATGAACAGTCAAAATTATTGTTCAATAAAGAACCGAGCAAAAGTAATTATGACTGAAAAAATATTAGATAAGAGATTTTGACTGAAAAACATTGGTTATAAGTAGTTTTGATCAAGACTGGGAATTAAAACAATTGATTTAATTACCAGTCTTGGACAAACTATTCCCTTCTTGACCTAACTAGTTTTTTATCAGCGCTCTTGTTGGTAAAACCTTCACCTTCCTCCACCACTTCTCTAACATTTCACTATTAAGAGGTAGATACTCTAAAGCCTTACCTTTATTTATTTGAATATAAACATAAGAAGGGCGTTTAGATAAAATACAGGAAAATGTCTAAAATTAATTTTATTCACTACATTCACTGGATATTGAAATATGTGATATGGAAAGAGAGATGTAGGGAAGGTAAGAGTGACCCACAAGCGTTTGCCCAAAAACTTAATAAATATGTACATCGGTAAGTATAATTTGCATACACTAATTACTTACATCATGACCAAAGCATAACGTTATTTTCAGAAAAATGTCGCATTGCGTCGAAGAAACTTCCAGTATCGAATCGTCGAAAAGACATAATCTACATATTTTATTCATTTTTATTAAATAAACAATAAAATAAAAGTATTATCATAATGACGCATGTACTTATTTGTAAATAATGAAATAAACCTAAAGCTGTCAGCCTGACACTGACAAACCATCGACCTAATTTTTTTTAGGGTATTGGACAAAACACAACAGGCCATAGATCCTGTAACTATTTGACCACATCTACAGAACCAAAAAATATTATAAAGCAATATAGTACAGTATTGTTGCGTGCCATAATGAATGCCTGGTATATGGCACTAACGCCACTTAGTGTCGAGTAGCAGAACTAATCCTTCTAGATAATTCCATGCTAGAACTTTCTACAGCTAGTCAGTCGGGACCGGTATGTACTCGAACTTTCTAAATGTTTCAGTAATAGAGGGCCTATATAAAGCCGTATAGGACCGCTACAGAGTCAGTATTGAATTGGGGATTCAAGAGAATACTTCGAAGCGATATAACTGCAAATTGTATTATTATTTGTGTATTTTAAATTGTAATTAGTGTTCGGTAATTAAGTGTCAATTTTGGTAATTCGATTGGCAGTTTGTATTGTCATGAAGCTCGTAACAATTGTAGTCAGAAGTGGTATTAAGTCATGCTAATTTTACCTAAAGACGATCGGCCCGTCAGCAGCTCCTACATCTGTGAACCTGAATTAGATGTTCTGATGTTGATGCTGCAGCAGCAGACTCACCGGCAGGAGGAACAGGCCCACCAACAGGAGGAACAAGCCCGTCTGTTGGAAGAGTAGCTATAATAATAATAATAAACTGTGCTAATGGACCGGGCACAGTCGAGGATATTTTTGGTCTACATTACCATTCCGTATGACGAGAACCTCGTGAAAGCCGAAACAGATTAGCAAACAAAATATCTGGACCTGGCTCACGAGGTGACCGACATGTGGGGTGGTCTGCCGACCGAAATTATTCCTGTAGTTGTTTCTGCAAACTGGCTAATCCCAGTCAGCCTCTCGGGTCATTTGAGGCGGCAGGGACTCCGTGACGGACCGCTCCAGGCTCAAATGCAGAAGGCGGTGCTCCTCGATATCACCCGCATCGTCCGCCAGTATCTTTCCCTTTCCTCCTAACCCTCGTCCGTTTAGTCTCCCCTGCCCGTGGGCTTCCATCAGGTTGGGCTTTTATTTATTCATATATTTTTATGTATTTATATTGTTTTATTGTTATTTATGTATATCATTTTGATTTACAATTATATATTTATGGAACCCAACCAGATGAGAAAACTACATAGATACCCCAATAATAATAATAATAATATACCGTAGGGAATTTATGACTCCATCGCCCGCTGACGTAACAGTTAGGTGAGAAAACTGCTACGTCAGCGCAGTCAGTCAGCGCCTTGCGAGAGGTATGAACGCCGTGCCTCGGCAGAATTTAGGGTGCAAAAGCCCGTTTGCGTTTATGGCCGCACAAGATACGGTGCCGGGCCTGCGCATCTCCCATTAATTGGCGCCCATAAAATGGATGATGGCACAAAGAGGAACGCGCACAGGGCCGCTGCCTGGGGGTCGCCGGGGCGCGTCCGGAGCTGATGCTGGACGCGGCAGTATGCGGGCCGCCAGCCGAGCGCGAGGAGCTGCACGATCAACTAGCAGCCCCGCATCCATCCCCACCAGAAGGCTTGGTGTCGGCTGGGTATTCCCGGACTCAGCAAGCGGCACCCGCGGCTGGTGGAGCACGTCGCATGCGTTCGACAAAAACTATGAACGAAAACGCATTGCGGGCGTACTATAGGGCGAAAGGGAAAGAAACTGCGGAGATAGCGTATAGGGCTCGGATACATTGCTTTTTTGCTGAGCTGGAGCCGTCTATTCCCGTCACGCAACAAAACCGGGCAGACCGAGTTCGGTACATCATGCGCTCGAAAATATTTGATGATGCCGAACTCGTATGACTACGACGTGCGGCTATTCCCTCATCGAATTAATCGACTATGACTGGGGATGCGACTGCACAGGCGACAGGCCAGCGTACACACGTGGCAGCCGCCATGGACCTTCCAGTTGTGGTTGATTCGGACGATGATGAAATAGTCTCCCACGAACTAGAGCAAATGAGGAGCATATTGGAAGAGTCGATTTTGGAAACGCGCAGCATGCCTCTCAAAAATCGACCACGACTTCCCCGTATATCCCTAAGCAAGCATAAATCGGGCTGTCGTGAGGGCTCTTAACCCAATGCTGGTGACCTATTTGGAAACCAGCCGGGACCATTGCGAAACGGTGTGTGTGTGTGTGTGTGTGTGTGGGTTGTATGTGTGTGTGTGTGTGTGTACGTGTGTGTGTGTGTGTACGTGTGTGTGTACGTGTGTGTGTGTGTATATGTATGTGGGTGTGTATGCAAACATTACCTATTAGTTTATAATTTGACGCCAAGAAGTCTCTCACCAGCATAGTAATCCAATTCTTTTAGCCAATCATGCAAAACGATTTTTAATTTAAAGTTGCTTAGCTTCTGTATAACTTTTGTTTTGTTGTTATAAAACCAAGGCGCAAAATATTCGAAATGCTTTCTTGCTATCGAGCTTTTCCCGTTCGAAGTAGGGTACTTTGCGGTTCTTTTGTTCATTACATATGTGTGTGGTACAGTTAAACGATCATACCGCCTGATGCATTGATACACGAAAGGTTTCCGAACAGATAAAACCCCTGTTTTTTATATAGCAAGTTGGTCTGCAGCGCGGACAGGAAAAACAAGCCCGTTAGTTGAAAGAGCAGACGGGGAACTGTCCCGCCAACAGGAGGAACAGGCCCGTCGTTTGGAAGAGCAGCTGCTTCTCAAGAAGGGTCTTCTCGCTACCTTCGGGAAAGAGATAAGAAAGGTGAAGGATGTTGTTGCTCATTATGACAACCGCCTGTTTGTTTGTCGGAAGCTGAAACCCGAATTGACCAAGTGAACAATCGGGTTGACAACGTGAAGGCTGACGTAAAGAAAACGCTGGATGACCTCAAAGTTGGGGATGTAGTTACAGCTCCCGTAGTAGCTACAACACCTTCGCTACATCGATTCAAAGTGCTGCCGTTTGACGGGACTTCTTCCTGGTTGGCCTACAAAATCTAGTTCGAGGCTGTCATGAAGGCGAATGGCTGGAATAAAAGTCAGGCAATGACTGCTTTCACACTAGACCTGTGTGACCAGGCCTTAACTGTTCTGTAAGCTCTTGGTAAGGAAGTGACCTACGATCAGCTCCTTGGGGTATTGGAAGCGAGATATGGTGACGCTCACTTAGAACACGTCTTGCAAGCGCAACTTAAAGTACGCGTGCAATTCAGCAACGAAAACCTGCAGCAGTGGGCCCTTGAGGTGGAGAAGCTGGTTCGAAAAGCATATTAGTCAGTACCTGTACTTATTGCAGACATTCATCGATGGAATCCGCGACCTTGAAGTCAGAGCTGTTGTGAGGCTCGGGCACCACGAGGCGCTTATTGATTTGTTCGCAAGGAAGTCTGTAGTCTGCGAACATGTTCAAGATCGTCCCCACCATTATATCAGATTTGATAGACCACATATACTTGCGAAAGAACATCGACTCCTACCAAGGATGATACGTGAGGGCATTGAAATTAAAAAACTTCCTAAATTCAATAAAGAAGGAGGCTGGATACTACCACCTGCTTGGATCCCTGTAATTAATAAAATTAAAACAAAACCCAAGCATACCACTGCAAGACACAGTTAGTTCATTCTACGTAGATCCGACCATAAATAACGATTAAAAAGCTGAAGAGACTCCGTGTTAACATTGACATCAGGACGTCAGTCACCTCAGTCCTCCGTGACCATGGTTGCTGGAAAGCACCCGAAACGTAGGAATTAGATGTAATTTAAATTAAACATGATATGCGAATTAAATGCGCAATGTGTAGTGTTCGCGTAAATATAAGAAACAATTACGATAAAATTATTTAGTTAACAGTAAACTAGCAAAAACAGTAATATCAATTTAATGAAGTAGACATATTGAAGGACAAATCTAAAATAATTTAATTGAGTAAAAATAAAACATTACCATAATAAATAATAATTGTTTGTTACATACCTTTAAATTAATTGGGATTTAGTGCCACTTACTTTTACACCTCTATTTCTAGTTCTTTTTTTAATTCTTCTAGTTTTAAGAATCCATAGTTTAGTTTGACCACTTTTAATTTGATTATTATAAAATTTAAAAAAATGTACCAAACATAAACAGTACTATTGTGAATACTTTTCAAACAATTGAAATTCAACGCCATGTAGTCTGTCAAATATATCACCTCATTTTACAGTGACGCCGCCATGGTGACAAGAAAAGTTGTGGATGCCCCCATTGTGCCATATTATTATGGATATAATACAATAAGTCGTCGCTTACATACAGTCGCCATCTCTAGAACTATTCGCATTTTTATTTATTAAATGGTACAAATGTTTGCATCAGAGGATAAATCTTAACGGAGACCATCAATGTACTAAGTGGACATGGGTGGCTTGACTACCAAACGGTTTGTAAACAAACTATTAACGAAAGTAAAGTAAAGTTACAGTCTATATACGTCCCACTGCTGGCACATGCTTCCTTTCACTGCTGAGAGTGTTTTAGGGCTAGGAAGCTATTAACGAAAACTAATTTTTTTATTCGCTTGTGGATTTTTATACCGGTGTTTTATTTCGGCACTTAGATATTTTCATTATTAACTGTCAGCTAGGTTAAACTATTGTCAAAATCTCGGATGAAATTTTTAATGTGACGCAGCCGCCTATAATGAAAATGTTTCTGAACTAAATACAAATCAGATTTGGCTGCATGACCTACCTTTGATCGTAACTACAACAGCTAACAATATCATAGACGTATTTATTACGTAAAAAGCGCTAGCAAGCGCTTGTAAGGAAAATGGCGTTCTTAAGTGGTAAGCGCTGTCAAATCGTAAGTAGCTATTTTCCTCCAGGACACGAAGTTATTTTAACTGGGGAACCTAACCTAATTTAAATATATGTTTGTAAAGTATTCATATTAAAAACTTACCAATCATGAATTTTTAATAACATGTATAATATGTTCATTCATGTCATTATATTACTTAAAACTTAACTTCACTGGAAGTTAACTAACAAAACAGTGGGATATTCCGTTGGTACGGAGTGTCCAGAAAAATTTATTTCAAAATTTCCATATTCAACAAGATCAGGCTCGCCTTCTAGCTGTTTCGACTAAGGAATCTAGCCACTGGTTACATGCTCTACCATCAAGTAATCTCGGCATATTGCTTGATGGGGAAAGCTTGCGCATCGCCGTAGGAATCCGGCTAGGAGTGGCTATTTGTCAACCTCATCAGTGCCCCTGTGGTAGCAGCGTCGATGAGTTTGGGCTCCACGGACTTTCATGCAAGAAAAGTGCAGGTAGGTTTTCCCGTCACGGTTCTTTGAACGAAATCATCCGAAGGGCTCTTGTCTCCATAAATATCCCCTCGGTTTTAGAGCCTTGTGGGATATTTAGAGACGATGGCAAGAGACCCGACGGTATGACTTTGGTCCCTTGAGAGAGAGGTAAAGCCCTAGTGTGGGATGCCACCTGCATTTAGAGCCGGGGCGGCATCAGAGGCAGCCGAATTTAGGGTAAATGACTACATATTTGTGCCATTTAGAGACTATCAGTCGTGGCCACGTGAATGAAGTTTCTAAAGGAACTGTATCCACGACTGGTCGTCGCTGCTGGTGATAAGAGGGCTGGTTCTTTCCTCGCTTAAAGGCTAAGTATAGCTATTCAGCGAGGAAACGCAGCCAGCGTTCTTGGCACTATACCACGGGGAGCAGGTCTTTTTGACTATTTACATTTTTAGTTTTAGATTTTCTATATTATAGTTTCTTCTTTAATGTTGTATATAATTAGTTTTAATCTTTAATATTATAATTTTAATTATTATTTTAGTTAAGTTCTTTATTATAATTTTTGTAATATAAATTGAACGTTGTAACTTCACTTAAAACGAATATTGCACAAAAAAACTTGTAAACTCCAATTCAAAACAAAGAAATTAAATAAGCAAAATGGCGGATTGTGTCAGCGCTACTGAAGTTAGCAAACGTCTCCTGGCCGAAAACTGCTTAGTTTCGACATTTTCCTTACAAGCGCTTGCTAGCGCTTTTTTCTGCCAAACGCACCCAAAATCTATTATCTATGATCTGACTTTGACATTTGTAGTTTATACTTTTGGTTTTGGCCTATGTTTTCGGTTTTAGGCCGTCGGCTGTAAAGAGTATCTTTGTCGGCTGCAGGATTTTCTTATCACAATCTACCTATATTTATTACGAATAATCGATGATAATTGTTATAGTGATAGCATCGCATCCCAGGGTATTGTGTCCTGTGATCGTATTGGATCGTATCGTGGTCGTGGATTGTGGTCTTGCCTATTGTGGGTGTATATGTATAGAGTTAGAGAAGATATCACTGAATAATGTTGCTTAAGTACTTTTTAATAATTTATTTATGTTCCTAATATGTAATAAAAATGGATTTAACTGAAAAAGATAATAGTTTATCCTGTACACAACGCTGTGTCAGTTGCTTATATTTCGAGGACGATAGAGTTCTGCAAAATTTTAAATTACAGAATGAAGCACTAAAAGCAGTTTTTCAGGTGCCGTTTACTATGTTACTTTCATATTTATAACACGCCATAGTTGACTTGGCCTGTAATATGTTTGTTTGTATGCATGTCCTTTGTTGATCTCGGATATAACTGTCCCATGATGTTTATATGGGAATTACGTGACATTTGAATAGCATGTGGTCATAGGGGACTAATGGAATATTAAGTTTGCGATTGTGTAGGCTTTGTGCTGGCCACTTATCACTTTACAATTTTGTATCTATCTCCAAATTTTTGCTAAATATGGTCTGAGTTGCTTGCTGCTCTTTGATTTTTGCGAACCCTTTCAGGACTTACAGGTGTGACATTATACACATGTGTAATCTGTGACAGTGTGGTCCTTCCCCAGTCGAGCTGACCCATTCATGTTAAAACTATAGAAATAGAAATAGAAACTTTTATTAGTGTAGATTATAAATACTATTGAAAGTCACTTTTTTAATTTACCACTGGTTAAACCTCTGTCTGGGAGAACCAGCAAGAAACCCAGGGGACTATTTTTTTTTAATAGCTTAAATCACACCGTTGATAGCTTGTTACGCAGTAATATAGCTGCAGCATCGCTCTAACATGTAAAAAAATGATAAAAATTTACAAATGGATAGATACCAATGCCATGAGTGATAAGGGCTATATTTTATCTGGAAAACCAGGAGTTTTTTTTATTGAAAATTTATAAAATGAAAAATCATTGATTAAAAAATGTAAATGACACCACATTTTTTTCACATGTTACAGCCATGCTACAGCTATATTACTGGTGTAGTTGTAACATTAATGGGTCGGCTCGACCACGGAAGGCCCACATTGTCACAGATTACACAACTGGATAATGTCACACCTGTAAGTCCTGAGATGGTGCACAAAAATCAAAGAGCAGCAAGCTACTCAGACCATATTTAGCGAAAATTCCTTCCTAAGGAATGCCACAACCAACAATACTATGGTAAAAATTGGTTAATTTACTTTATTTTTACATTTCAGGTAGATTATTTATGTCTTTGCTATCTATGTAAAAGGAAAATAGAGAATGCCGAGCTGTACATACAGACAGTTCTAAATAACCAAATATTGTTGGAAAATTTGACAAAAGTAAGTATTTTTTTAATGAACATGAATTAAAGTATAAAGTTGTGGGTAGTTATAATATTGTTGTATTTTTATTTTATTTCATTTTTTAAAGCTTGCAAGTCAGCAAAGGTGAAATATCTAATATTATATGATATGGCACGACACTTTCATTTACACTCCCTCATAGATTGCTTCAAAAGGGCGGGGGGGGGAGGGGGGGGTATCGTCATAGTTGCCATACTCATCAGACAGATTAGCACTCACAGTTTTTTATATTATTGTTGGTATAAGGAAGACCCCATCTTCTAGATTATTTCCTTCTGTCGCCTCTTACAACACCCATGGGCTGAAATGGGGTACTGGATATACTCATACCACTACTACGTGGTAAGTATTTTGTAACATCATCAGTTTACATATTTACACACCATTTTTTAATATGGTAATACATCTTAATATATATAAATTATGTGTCACATTGTTTGTCCTCGATGGACTCCTTAATTGATTTTAATCAAATTTGCACAGTATGCAGTTTGGTCCAACTTGAGAGATAGGATAGTTGTTTTACCGATGAGTGACCCATAATTTTTTTTTCGCAAATTTCAGGATTTTTAATGGGACATGACAAAGGGTTGTCAAAAAGGGCAGAACAACGTATGACTGGCAAGCTAGTATTTTATAATTTAATGTTATTTAATTATTTGCATACAATAAAACTGTTACATTCAATTTGATACAGTTATTATTATACATTACCATTGTTGGAGTTTCCTAACAAGTGATTTAAAAATTACTTTTGTCATATTACATGCCTTCAGAAATCCCCTACTGAATAGGCCTCCACAAAACATGGTCTCAACTCCTGACGCAACAAGGAGCCCTTATCTAAATTATTTCATAAGTTTAGTGTTCATTATGCTTTTTTAACAATGTTGTATTAAAGTTTTCAGATGAAACAATATCGACTTTAACAAGTCAAACACAACCACTTTCTAGTCTCAGTAAATTATCATTAGATATAATAGAATTAGATGGAAGTGACACACAGACATCTGAGCCAACTCTTGTATATAAATATGGCGTTTACAAAGATTCTCAAGTTAAGATGGAATTTAAAGTTGAAGATGAAAACTATTTGGACAGTGCTGCAAATGACTTTATAGATGAAATTGGTATGTGAAATAAAAAATATGTATTTTATATGGGTTTTACAATTGTGTTGTGAGCATTTAATGCTTGCCTTATGGTAATATGTGATGTGGTATTTCAGGTATATCAAATACTAATGAATATATGATTTTACTCAAAATGTGTATGTAATGTATCTATAAGGATTACATTACAAATCTAGTCAGGTACCTGCGGGTAATAAGGCCTGTTGGCTAATAAGGCTTAAGTAACAAAAATGGTATTTATAATAACCATTCTCGCTCGAGGAGACAATAATAGACTCCTATTGCACCATAATGTCTCAACAAGTTTGCAACGACGCACTACCCTGCTTCCTGCAACCAGAGTTGCATTAACTGTAAAGAGGTGATGATCACACTGCACCAATAATAAAAATCAGTCCAATTAAATCGAAAGTATGTTTTGTAATATTACAATTAGTTATATAAAATAGTTATCTTTATTAATAAAAAAGTTAAAAGAATAATGTATCATCATGGAAATTTTTTTTTTTAATTGATTTTCCTGAAATACTTGGCGATTATTAGAGTTTACAAAATTTCACCATAGACCTTTACTCCTTGTGTATTTTTTTTGTTTTATAATGTATTTTATATCACTTGTAAATTATTATAAATGCAAATAAATTACTCACTTTTATTACTAAACTAATGTAGTCAGAAATCTACCTAGTTTCAGCTGTCTAAACAGTGCGGTTAATCAGCGGTTACACGTTCAGTATTTCATCAGTTCAGTTCATTAGTCTGGTCAGAATGACCGCTGAATTATCATCCAACCCATGAACTGACGGACTGATGGGTAGGATTGATAAAAATTTAATATTTTAGATAGTTTTCGTCAGTCCGTTGTGAATGATGAAATACTGATGCGAGACTGATCATGTAACCATCGACTATCATTCTGGCATCAGTCAAAGTTGGATCAGGCTGATGACTGATCTGATAAAATACTGAATGTGTAACCGCCATTACAGTATATTGTCAGAATGACACAGAATATCGTACGCTGACGGACTGATGGTCAAGACTGATAAAAATTAAATATTTTAGATAATTTTCGTCAGTCCTTTGTGAATGATGAAATACTGATGCGAGACTGATCGTGTACCCACATTTATCATTCTCGCGTCAGTTATCGTCCACGATGATATGGAGCCAGACGTATATCCGCGTGTGTGCCGTAAGTCCTGCTGCCACCGCCACCGGTGACCCAACCCCCGCCACCGCCCCCTTCAACTCCAATTAACACAGAAAAAGATTTTATTCTCACTGGTTGCGCGGAAAACCATTCGCGTTTTTTATTTTTGACGGTAGGAATTTGTCGAATCATTATTCCCTTCCGAAACAATATCATTCGTACCCTCCTATCGACACATCGGGGTGGTGGGGTGGGAGGGGAAAGAAGACGATTCTAGAACATCGCGTAATCATCGGACCCGAGGATATATAAGACACGCGCGACCGACGCGCGCTCTCTTCTCCCGCCGCAGTCGTCGTTGAACTACAACCTCCTCTTCCCGCGCGCTCGTTTGGAAACACCTCACTAGTGGAAACCGCTTTGGCCTGGAAGCAATCGAGCTCCAGGAACCCGCCTCACCTCGTGTGAGATATCGTCGCGCACCGCCTCTCTCCGGAGTGTTCCAGAAGTCGCTATAGTGATCGACAGGAAGAAGAAACCCCGGTGAGTCAATACTCCTTAATTATACCTGCTTGCTAATAATTTAACCCCCTCCAATTTGTGTTTTTTTCCTAGTCAAGCAGGATTCCTTTCATCGATTCGACAAGTAATAGTTTAGTTTAGGGAAGAGCGAGTGCATTGTACCACATGCTATAGTAGTCGCTTCACATAAGCATAGAAGCAATCGCATATACAGTCCACTTTAGTTAATATCTCGCGTAATAGGTTTGAGGTTTGACCGGGGAACTAGATTTTCGGCAGCCTTAAACACGTGGCTCCACCATTTTATGGTCACTTCGGCAGGATCTGGATTGGTGTTTAGTGGTTATCCAACCATTTTCTGGTCGAATTATTAAATTAATTGTTTAGATAACGCACTCTAACTTATGGAATAGACTTAAATAGTGTTCGTTTAAATTAAAATTTTGATTTGTTACTCGCAAACAGAATTATTCATTTAATAGCGCTCGTATTTGGTTAAATTTAAAGCTTATTAAATAATTGAAACGGCGTGATAGCAACCGTTTGATACGCTTACCCCACAATTTTATAAAATTATTAGGTTTAGCAAACGACGCGTAGCCTTGACTGCATCGGGCGCTCGATCTGATTACGTAATACAGCACGCCGAGTATTCATCCTACGTCGTTTATGCGTGTGAGATTAATTGTGATTAATATAACTTTATTACAATAATTTAAAATGGCAGTTAGTGGAAGTGAAATCAAAATTAAAACGCTTTATGCCAAGAGGGACATACTCTTTTCGCGTGTGCAAAATATAAGTGATTATATAAAGAACATTCATATAGAGGCAGTACGGGAGGCCTTTTTAAATGAAATCGAAACGATAGATAATTTGCGGACAGATTACGAAAGAATATTAGACCAAATTAATCATTCGGAACTACAAACCGACCCGAAATACATAGTGAACTACCAACCGCTGCTGGCATTCGAAGATATGTTGTGTCGCGTGAAGAGAACCGCAAAATTGCTACAATCTCAAGGTGAAGCGAAGCCTGAAATGCAGGTACGCCCTCGTGACTCAATTAGGTTACCGCCAATAGATATTCCGGTATTCAATGGTGATATTAAGACGTGGCCCTTCTTCTTCAGTAGTTTTCAAAACAATATACACAACAACCCATCGTTATCGGACGCTGAAAAATTATATTACTTAATTAGCAAACTTAGTGGCAGAGCACAGTCGATCTGCTCGGGTTTTACACCTACAGCAAACAATTACGTATTAATATTTGAAACGCTTAAAACTAAATATGAAGATAGGAGAATGTTAGCTTCCGAATATTTGAACCAGATATTCGATCTTAAACCTATATCATCCGCGAACATCAACGGCTTAGAGCAGTTTCTCGATAAATTTGTGGCATCGGTGGCTGCACTTAAGAATTTGAAGTTTGATGACCTTATGGACGTGGTGTTTCTCCATATAGCATTAAAGAAATTAGACTCCGACACCGTGCGTGCGTTTGAAATGGAGCATCGTAGCTCGGAGATGCCTTCCTTTCATTCATTAGCATCGTTCGTGCGAGATCAAATAAAGGTGATGCAGCGCTCACCGAACGTTAAACAGGAGATTAAAAGGTGCGTCGACCGTAGACGGACTCAACCATCTAAAATAGCAGGGTCGTTAACTTACGTAACCGCTACGCCGACATCGCTCCAGCATACTTGTATAGTATGTAAAGATAAACACGGTAACTTATATAACTGTGCGACTTTTCGTAAATATTCACCAAGCGAACGTTATAAGTTAGTAAAGACAAACAACCTATGTTTGAACTGCTTAAGCGATAAGCATTTAGTTGCAAAATGCAATTCGAGTTCCGTATGTAGCAAGTGCGCCAGGAAACATCACACGCTATTACATTTTGAAAATAGCAACATAGCGGCGTCAAGTAAGGCGAATAAGGAATTCACCCCTACTAAGGTCAACGATTCTAGCGGTCGACCTGATGATGTCGCTCTGTGCTCATTGGCAAATATGGGAGCACAACCTCCTTCAACCGTGTTACTGGGTACGGCGCGTATTTTGGTTAGGGATTCGCGTGGAAACAAACAAAGCGTCCGTGCACTGCTGGACAGCGGAGCCCAAAATAGCTTTATAACACGACAATGTTGTCAGCGCTTAGGCTTAGTAATAAATAGGTCACTTTCATGTCCTGTAGTTAAAGGCATCGGAGGTACTAGTAAAGCGACACAGGGATATATAAATTTAAAATTTTATTCTCGGATAGATCGTAACGTTAACTTTGATATAAATGCACTAGTAGTAGATAGGGTCACTGAACGGTTGCCAACCGTTTCGGTTGACACCTCGGCAATGATTGAATTTAAAAATTTGACTCTAGCAGACGACACTTACGCCGTTCCTGGAAACATAGACATGCTCATTGGGGCATCGCTTTTCCCTCATCTTTTGTTAAACAATAAGGTCAGGGGCAACTCCTCGCATACCGCGCCTTACGCACTGGAAACCGTATTGGGCTATGTGATCCTTGGCTCCGCCCCCATCCTAGATAGTATTTCGGCAGCCTCTTATTGTGGTATGGCTGTCGAACCGCTCGAGTCGTTAGTCCGCAAATTTTGGGAGATGGAGGAGGTGAACGTCCCACCCATAGCTAGTTCAAATGACAGGATATGCGAGGAAATTTACGTCCGCACGACCGTTCGTGATCGCGACGGTAGATATAGTGTAGCGCTACCCTTTAAGGGAGATGTTTTATCTCTCGGCGATTCGCGTCAAATGGCGGAAAAACGTTTCTACAGCTTGGAGCGTAGGATGCTCGCTTCGCCCCAGTTAAAGGAAGCTTACGACGGCGTCATTAACGAATATATAAGAGAAGGTTACATATCACTTGTGGCTTCGAAATTAGATAACTACGAAGACACACCGTCGTATTTTATACCACACCACGGAGTCATTAGAGAGGACAAACTTACATCTAAATTACGTGTAGTGCTCGACGCTAGTGCTAAAACTAGCACTCACCTGTCGCTTAACGATATCCTCTATAGTGGGCAAAATTTACAGGGCAGTTTATTTGATATAATAGTCAATTTTCGTTTGTTTAGTATAGCACTATCCGCCGATATTCGCCAAATGTTTCTTTGCATAGGGGTCCGTGAATGCGACCGTAGATTCCAGCGCATTTTATATCGTTTCAACCCAAAGGAACCTCTAATGGTGTTTGAATTTAACCGCGTTTGTTTTGGTTTAAAGTCGAGCCCATTTCATGCGTTACGCACGGTGAGACAGCTCGCTCACGATGAAGGTCCCT